GCCAGTAACTCTTTATTTTCAACAAATGTTTGAAATGTTTATTGAATGTTTTTCAATAAAGAGTTACTGGCAGTAAGACAACAATGGAGACACCTGCTAGAATCAGCAGGATACCCAATACAAGTATACACAGATCACAAAAATTTAGAGATTCTGTAAAACACCCAATCTCTCACCCCCAGACAAATCAGGCAGGCACAATTTTTCTCCCACTTCGATTTTTACGTCTCATATGACCCAGGTTCCCAGAACAAACTTCTAGATGCCCTCTCACACAAACTGGAGTATGAGGTTCCACAGTGACCCCCCCCCCTCAGTAGCAACACTGCAACCGTGTAGCATTTGAATCACGCCATAAATCAGACAAGCAAAAGAGGCTAGGAGCAGGAAGACAAGCTGTTGATCTCTTTGATCAGATTAGGAGAGCAACATTAGGGATGCAGGATGCATACGCCACGGCCCGGAGGGATGACCTCCAGGGATCCCAGATTTTAGAGAAACTATCCTACATTATTCACCTGTTGATCTTTTACACTTCTGCTGTTTCTACCTTGCCTACCATTCTTACACAGGAAACTCATCAACAGTGAAATCTATTTTTTCCAAGCCAATACATTTGTGTTCTGAGAAATCTTCAAAAATGACAATTTTTTTTGGCTTTCCCCACCCTCTCTCAGTTCCCCTCTCCATTCACCCCCTTTCCACACACTAACTACTTCCCAACTCATTCAGATCACATATGAACAGAAGTTCATCCTCTAATTTGAAAACCTGGCTCTGCCCCCCAAGAATTCCCTTAGGATGGTTGGGTGGACCCCTTTAAACTGTGTAGGATGTGGAAGAACAGTTTATTGTTGCCTTAGACAGGTGTTGTTTTATATATGATTGTTGTTTTTATGTGATGTAATGTTGTTCTTTTAACAATGTGGGGCTGCCAGAGTTGTTTTGGATTTGGGTGACAGTAAAATTAAATTAAATTAAAAATAGTCTAGTTAAGGGAGGGCTATGTTGCATTCTAGTTTCCCCCTTCCCAGATCCTCTTATCCTTATATTAATTGATATATAATTCTTTGTTCTCCATATTTCATCTTATTCCCTAACTAATATGAAACAATATTAAACATCTTATAACAATCAACTTTCTTAAGTCCCAAATGCCAAAAGATCCTTTTATCACATCATCTTCTTATAATGATATATCAATTCTTTAAACATTAAAGAATGTTGTCTATGTGCTCTTCATAATTTATTCCATAGGTTAACTCTCTATTCCTCTCTTGAAGCATAGAAGTAGTCTTTCTTCTCTATGGACGAAATAAAATTAACTTGAAGCAAAACTCTTATACCATATTTTGCTTTTTGATCATTCTTCCATCAAAGGCTGAAGACTTTTCTTCTTTATAACAAGTTGGACTAATATATTGAAAACATAATATATTATATCTGTCCCAATTTATGTCTTCCAGCCCACAAAGCTTTTGCTAAATTCTGTTTCTCACGCAAGCATTTACAAATCTTAGTATTACACCCCCTCCACATCTTCATCAGAAAGCTTTGTGTCTGGTAGCTTCTCATCAAGCTTCCAATACAATATCCAGTTTTTCTACATTTTCTCTAATTCCTCTAAGTCTCAAATTATTTATTCTATTCTGATCCTGTATAACAGCAAATCCAGTCTAATGTCTGTACTATTATTTTGAACTTTTCAAATATCAAGTTCATTTTCTGTAGCAGCATCATATGTTTTGCCAGCAATCTGGACAACCTCTGCAACTTGAGCAGACAATTCTTTTAGTTGTTCATTAACTTGTTCAAACATAACTGTCAAATCCTATCAGACTGTATAAGCTAACTTATCCCATTCCACCTTTAATTCTTAGTTGAATTCTTTAATTAGATTTCCCAATGAGTCAGTTTCAAAGCTTGTCCTGAATGGTGCTCAGTTTTCATGAGCTCTGTAAAAACATCCTCCTCCACCACCATTTATTTTCATTCCTAGAGTGGGGTGCCACTTCAGCCACTTCAGGATCATCCATGTAATCCTTAATTCCTCTGTCTTTTTTGGAATTACCTTTCTTAAACATCTTTTTATTACTAATAATGCCAGTTAGCTAGATATTTTTTAAAAAATGAAAAACAAAATTATTGGAAAAGGTGGTGAAGAGACCAATGTGCCATCTTCTCTGGTGGCTAGCTACACCTGCCTCCTCCTTCATCCTTGGTCCTAACATTCAAAGAAACCTGAGCACAAGCTTAAAATTTATCCCACTGATATGAGCAGGTACTTAGTGTTGCCCAATTGTTTGGACCGTGTTCCATTATTACGAAAACATGTTCTTTGTAAGGGCATTAAAAAGAGTGCTGTTCTTATTTGAACAAAATATTATTTTGATCAGACTGTCCAGGAGTTAACTTTTCCCCACTTTGTCCCACCCAACCAGTTGCAGCAGGAGATAATAGTTCACACAGGAAATAGCTGACAGGCTGCCAAGGAATTTTTTTCCATCATCAAACTGGCACATAGAATAGGCACTGAATATTGATTGGCAGAGAGGAATAGAGGGTGCCTAGAACAGGACCCAGGATAACTTCTGCTCTCAGATTTTGAAGACATCTAAGTCCTACTCATTGTTCTCTGTGTCACAAGAATATAAGCAGCACTGTGCTGGATCAGATCAATACCCTAGCATGCCCTAACTCCTGGCTTCCAATGGGATATTGGAATCATCTCACATTCCTCAGAAAAGGACTGATATTCACCTGATACAACTGGTAATACAAAACTCATATGACAACTAAACTATGGCAGTTGGACTTTAAACTTCATAAAAATTGGTATGTTATTAATATGGATGTTTCTTGGCTATTCTATTAATGACTTTCTCTATATGATTCTTTAAATCATATGCACTGCCAGCATTCTGGAGCCCTATTCAACCATCTTCTTTGTTCACACAATGAGCAAGCACCCCCAGTATAACACTGTCCCTTGTTTGCAACTTCCATGAATTTATATAGGCAAACTTCTGACATGGAAGGACTTCTGTGCCCATGGAGGCTCTCTTCATGATTCAGAGCCCTGATGAAATAGGATTCTATATTATTTGGGACTCAAACTAGCAATGCATTTATCTTAAAATAAATAACACAAAGACAGCTACCGCAAGCCTTGGCTACCACTGAAAGAGAAAGTACATATTATAAAATCACACATGTAACAAAATTCAAAGATTGTGGTTTTGAGCAGGTAACTACTGTAGTGGTAAATATGCAATCTGGGTTTCACAGGAAGCAAAATAGGTAGCGTAAATTTTATAGAAAATGAAGCGACATACATGTGTGTACATAAACACACAGACATGTACATGCTTCTTACATTGCTTTTATTACCTCCCCCCCCAAAAATACTTCATCCATTCCTTTTATTTTTATTTCCCAAATTTGTTGCATGACACTGAAAACATTCTCCTCAGTTGTTTCCTGTGATGTCTAGCCTATATTTGAGAAGACATTCAGTTACATTGGGACAGAAGGGGACAGGGGGGCTGGCCATTGTCAAATACCAGGCATATAAAGTCCTGCTACTGGAATTTCCTATATTTTTCCCTAGAAAAGCAGCCAGAGGATGTGCAACATTTGGTCAGATATTAATTTAGCTTTCGATTTGTGAATGTTTGTGCTATAATGTACAAATAGATAGATGCACATGACACAATACTATATACAGCTCAAGGTAATTTTTTTTTCCTGTTCCTGCCTTTGTCATTAACACACAGCTGTTAGATTTCAACACTTTTTATACCAAGTGAGCTTTTCAGTTAGGGTTAGAACCAAGCCTTATATAAAGCTATATATTTTCCAATCAATCCCAATGTTCAACAATGCCTCTGATTTAAACCTGTTCCCAAATATAGGGCTCCCCAAGCAAAATTCCTGAGGTACTCAGTAAAATACAGAGAAAACAGATGAAGAATGCTTGAATCTGCTGAAAACTGAACGGTGATTGCCTTGTGCAATTTTACAAGAAAGAAGATAGGAAGGTATACAAAGCTTAAAGTGGTATTTGCTGTAAAATAATGAAAGTTGTGGAGAGCTGTGTCTGTTTTTTTAAAAATTACACACTCTTAAGTATTCAGATCAAAATTACTTTAAACACCACATTTCTCTTCAAAGCAAGAACTTCATAAACTATTACTGCATTTCCCTAGGAGAAAAACTCTTGTAAAATATTTGTGAAAATTCTTAGTTGGCTAAAAATACACCCAGAATGTTTCTGAGTAAACTGAGTTTAAAAAGAAGGTAACGTGTGTGCATGCAGTCATGAGCATTGCCGTCTGCTGCAGATTTCACAATACAGTTCAAGGGCATTTCAAATATCTACCATCAACCATTAATGCTTTTACAAATACAGATTAGCCATAATGGGGAGGGAATCTCTAATCACTAAGGAACATTAGTGCCATTCCAATGATGAGTCAGAGTAATCTGTAACTAGTAAGCAATCCATATTGGGTTCTTACCATAATGAAGTTGCAAAATTTGAGAAAAGGTAGCAACTTGTACTGAAACACATTTGTTTAACTGAGTCCTTTCTATTTTCTTAATGAGAATTGTATATCAATATACCTTGTGAGAGGCTGCTCTAACACTACTTGCTTACATTTACATGGTAGAATCTGGCCATTAACAGTTCACGCAGAGAAATCTTTCAGAATGAAAGCAGATGGTTGTAATTTAAAGTTGCTCCAAAGCAAATCAGAGATTTGAATTTCAGGATAAAACTGAAAGAATGAAAAAGGTGATACACTCCCAGAAGGAGGGCAGAATTACAAATATCTTCTGAACGCAGAATTTTGTGATATTTAGTCACAAGAAGATGTAGTAATCTCTTATTACAAAAAATAAAAAAATAAAAACTTTATTATCTGCAGATGACAATGATTTGTAGGAAATAGTATTTACACACCTAAAAAAAATCAATATACTTTTTAATGTCTTACCTAGACGGACAAGATACTGTATTGTTAAAATAATCATGTTCTCCACACTTAGTAGCTGATTCCCAGTTAAACCAAAAAGATCCAAATCTTTATTTTCCAGCTGAGGAATCTTGTAGGAATTCACTAGCAAGGGACTTACTACAATGTCTCCAACATTCCCATAGAAATAAGGTAAAGTGCCATAACCTTTAAAAAACAAAAAGACAAGCTCTAATCAAATTATTGAAGAAGTGCTTTTCAATTTTTTAAATCTTGTAAAATAAAAATTATTGTTAAGCAAGGAATCAAAATATATTTTCCCACAAAAGCATGAAATTTTTTTTTAAGCTCAGATGTAAAGACCATTACAGGCAGTCCTTGCTTAACAATGGTAACTGGGACCAGCAACACCATAGCTAAGTGATGCGGTTGTAAAGTGCGACATCATGTGATCATGCTGACTTATGTTGGCAATTGTGGCAGTTCCAGTTGCCATTGTTAAATGAATCCAGGCGGTCATTCAGTGTGATGTCACGTGATTGCCATTTGCGACCTCCTGCCAGCTTCCCCACTGACTTTGCTTGGCGGAAGCTGGCAGGGAAGGTCACAAATGGTGATCATGTGGCTGCAGGACACTGCGATTGCCGTAATTCTGAGCTGGTTGCCAAGTGCCCAAATCGTGATCACCTGACCATGGCGACTCTGTGACTGCCGCAACTACGAGGACTGGTCATAAGTCTCCTTGTTCAGTGCCATATAACTTTGAACTGTTTCTTAATAAGTGGGAGTTAAGCAAAGACTACCTGTATAAACCTAGGTGACAAAGACATCTATGCATTTTAATGTCTAACAAAAATGAAGGACAGTGTAGAAATGGTTACAACATATATATATCTTTTTCTACTAACAGTAGTACTAAAATCCCTCCTAAATCTCAATTTTAGCTTATTACTATTAACCCAAATCTAAAGGTTATATGGGGAATTGTTTAAATGCAATGCTTACCTGTATCTGTATGTAATATGTAGCTTTTTAAAGTAATGGACAACACAAGATTTTCATACTGCCTATAGGTTTTTTCTGGCATAGTTACAGATTATACACACATACAGACACATGTATATAAATAAAAAAAAGTGGTACTTTTTTCTAGGTACAGTGAGCCTTTACATATCAGTAACTTGACATGGGCCAATGTCTAAAATTTAGAAATTGAAATAACACTCTATACTTTGTTCTTTTATATCCAAATATTAAATTCTAGCCTTAAAATGTATTATTCAAATAATAAATTTGTTCATTATCTATCTACCTAGAGTTTATTTTGTAAGATGAACAATAATTGCTAGCTCAGTGACAGAGCCCTTTTTTTTTCATGAGTTCTACATCCATATACTAGAAAGCTGTTGTCAATCAGGGCTGTCAATAATTCCTGTAGATCAGTGTTTCTCAACCTCAGCGACTTTAAGATGTGTGGACTTCAACTCCCAGAATTCCCCAGCCAGAACATCCACACATCTAAAGTTGCTGAGGTTGAGAAACACTGCTGTAGATAAGGCAGCTACTTCTGTTCTTACAAGACTTAGTTGTTTCCTAGATTTCCTATGCAGAGCTTAATGCTTCTACTCCTTTACTGCATAAATTTGGGCTAAGGAGTACCTTTAATTTTTTCTCTTTTTCAGTATTATGTTCAATGATAACATTACTCAGCTGAATGGCAGAATGAAGTAGCAAGCTGCTGGCAAGCCTCAAGCTGCATTTATATTAATAGTCTTCTTTTGCTGTACCCCCTCTAGTCCCAATTTCCTATGTCTGCAAGGCTATAGAAGTGACTTGCAAGTAAATGCTCCTGTTTGCTAGGGAAGAGTCTAGCCTACCATCTGTTGTGACAAAATGAAACCCTCTTGGCAAAGAAACAAGCTTTCTTATTCCTAATGAAAAGATAGCTCAGAATCATTCTGCCATTCTGCCCACCCATCCTCTCCCTGCAGAAATGCAGCTGAGTTGTCAGCCAAGTTCTACTTCACAACAGACAACTGGAACAGCTCCTGACATTTCATAGCTTTAAAAGGGAAACACCCAGCGTCATTTCATCAGGCGTGTGAAATTGATTTGAATGAGATTACCATTTCTTAGGGGGAGAAAACTGGAAGCAGAGCCCAAATCACAAGCATCACTTAAAAAGTAGTGCAGAATATGTGCAATATAAGTACAGATAGTACTTAACACTTTAAGATTTTACACAAAACACCGCAGGTTTATCATCTTACATGGGAGCTCTTGAATAATTTGGACAGTACAATCCACAACTGCATCTAAAATATTAAGGAGGAAAAATGCCCACACAAGTAAGCTTATGAAGATATTGAAGTATTTTTACAGTTGTTCCTACTTCCTGTGCAAGGGTTGTAACAGAGCGTGGGATATTTTATTGACATAACCCCCTGATAAATAACAAGGGAATACTGTAAATCCAGTTCTTCTAAATAAGCGCTGAAATGCATATTTCTACATACTTTCAGTAACTATCTGCTATAATCATTCAGTTGAAATATTTTATACATATACAATTTTTTTAAGGAGCACAATTCTTCAGTTTAACTGCTTACTGTTTAACATTTCTCATGTGAAGATATTGCAGGATCAGGCATGAAAAATAAGATAATTTATTTTGGACTATATAGATTTTGGAGATTCTGGTCAGCCCAAAATTGCTTTGAAATGCTTAAGTTCTCTAAGATTCTGCAAATTGCAAGGACACAATTATTTCAGGGGCTGTGAGAAAAGCTATTTCCCTTAGTTCTTAATGGAAAGGTCTCTATGATTTATGTGCACACTCTTTCACGTTAAGCTTGAACAAGAGCATTCTAATTATCACCTGCAGTTGTCTAAGGCAGTGCTTCTCAACCTTGGCCACTTGAAGATGGGTGGACTTCAACTCCCAGAATTCCCCAGCCAGCATGGGGGGCTGGGGAA